GAAAACTTGCAGGGGTCAATTCTTGCCTTCCACCATGTGAATCCCAGGGATCAAATCTGAGTGGTCAGCCTTGAGGGCAGGTGCCTTTGTCCCCAAGCTGTTGGGGGGGTGTCACTCTGAGACAGTGATAAAAGGTGTGCTAACACAAAGCTCCATCTCTGCAGGCGACCATCAATATTGTTCTTGATCGAGTTGGGAAGACTGACCCTGTCACCAGAGGCATTGAGATCACTGTGAATTACCTGGGGATCCAGTTCGATGTAAGAGCCACTCTACATCCTAGTTTGCTTCCTTCAGGTCCAGTCGCCCTAGCTCGACCCTCAGCTTTTAATCCTGAACTTCAGGTCCAGTCGCCCCAGCTCAACCCTCGGCTTTTAACCCTGAACTTCAGGTCCAGTCGCCACAGCTCGACCCTCGGGTTTTAACCCCTGAACTTCAGGTCCATTGTCCTCTGTGTGTTGACAGCTCCCATGGCCCATCTGTAAACATCAGGTTTAGCTTTCTTATTGTAAAGCCATAAGCAGTGACAGGATGCTACCTGCTGCTGCGGGTCCTCCTCAGCCTGTCCTCAGCCAGCCCACAGCATGCCCACAGCCAGCTACCACTGGCCAGTTTCTTTCCACCAAGTATTCAGATCTTCCTCTGTGATACTCAGTGAACTCTTCAAACTCACAATTCACCTTTGATCTCCTGGTAGAAAATTAACAACTAATTAGTGTTCTGAAATAGTTTCACTATAAGAAACGACCTTTGTCGGTCGAGTAAGGTGGACCTTGGACTGAAGTTGAATTGTCATCTATGCACAAAGTTGATTTGTTTTTGTTTTTTTAATCATTTCTCCCTATTTCATAAAACCAGGCATAAACAAGCCTTATCTCAAGTTCAGTGGTTTTCCTAGTGTAACGTGGTTTTCAGATCACGTCATTCAGGCCGATGGACACTCTGGTAGTAACACCGGTGTCACATTCTTTGTCCTTGGTGGAGCCTAGATGAGGGTATGTGTCACCCTTGGTCTCCATCTCAGCGTAGCCTGTCTCCCATCTCCGGGGCAGCTAAGATAAAATGCGCAAGCCAACTGAGCCGCAGGCCCGCAGGAGCAGCGCCGGGCACGCTTTGGTTCTTCTCACTGCATAGCACAGGTGCCTCCAGTCCGCAGTCCTCACTGTGCAAAAGAGGAGGGTGCTGTGGATGATCCTCCCTTCACCCTGTTTCTTAATGAGGGTCTCTCGCTGAACTTGGGACTTGACATTTCAGCCTCACAGACTCTGCCTGGCCCTAGCTCCCAATGCTGTTGATATGGGCACACCTAGCCTTGCCCAGCTTTTACATGAGTGCTTGGAATTTCAGCTCAAGACCTGTGGCTTTTACAGCTTTCTTACCACTGAGCCATCTCCCCAACCATGAAAGTACATATTTTTAATGATAGGTCAACAGTGTATTCTTTCTACAAGTGATGGATCAAGGCATCTTTCTTCAGGTCATGTGGAATTCCAGTGGTCCATGTGCTTTATTGTTGATGCCTCTGTGGTTTTCTCATTTAAATATCACTCGACTTTCTGGGCTTCCTGGGAGTGGTGGCACTCAGGAGGCAGAGGTAGGGAATCTCTGAATTCAAGGCAGCCTGGACTGTAGAGCAAGTTCCAGGCTAGGCAGGACTACACAGTGAAATCCATCTCAAAAACAAATGTTTTCTTTACTGCACTACACTTTTAGAAGTGAGCGCTCTGAGGCTGCTCACTTTTATCTGTTCCTGCCTGATTCATCTCCTTCCTCCATGTTCACACTTCTGAATAAATAACAAGCCTTTTAGATGTTGGTAAAGCCTTGGCATCACGTACCTGAGAACAGAGTCAAGCACAGGTTCCCAAAACTGCTTCACCCTGTCAGGCAGTACTGGAGGAAAGAGCTCCATTGTGTGGTTCAAGTGAACTTCACCAAGAATCCCCGTGTAGTCATACTGTGATGTCGTTGTCCTTTTCTCCTCATCCACAGCATTGAAAACAATCAGGGTGCACTGAGTTCACCTTAGTCCCTCATTCTCATCCTCACAGTGGGGCCATCTCATCAGCTGTGGGTTTCCTCACAGTGGGGCCATCTCATCAGCAATGGGTTTTCTCACAGTAGGACCATGTCATCAGCTGTGGGTTTCCTCACAGTAGGACCATCTCATCAGCTGTGGGTTTCCTCACAGTAGGACCATGTCATCAGCTGTGGGTTTTCTCACAG